AACATAATCATTGGACCGACAAGTGGGATCCTTGCCTCCAATTGAGGCGATCATGTTTTTTGGATCCTTAAGTGGGATCCTTGTCGCCCATTGAGGCGATTGTAATCATTGGATCCTTAAGTGGTATTCTTACAACCCATAAAGGCAACCACAACAATAAAACACCCTCAGAAAAATGCTAAAGGGTCAAAATCACATACAAATACATGAGAAGATAATAAGATCAGTTAACATAAAATGGCGTTCCCAAGGGATGTCATTGTTTAGTACAATTACAAAAGCCCCCGAAGGGGCGGAGAAGTACAAAAATCCTCGACAGAGGAAACCAACTACAAAACAAGGAAGCCAAGGCGCGAAAAACTATTTGTCATCCATTAATTGACCATCTTGAACCACATGAAAGGGGTCCATCGAGCTCAAATCCATATTAGGATAAAGAAAGGAAACTTGTATTTTCTCCCTCTCAAAGTAGTGGGCGGAGGTTGCCACGACCTCATCCTTGAGAAGTTAGACTCTCTCTTCTAGATCGTCCAAAGTGTTTCACGCCCTCTTAAGCAATTGTCTCAAACACCACGCCTCTTCAAACAAGGTGACGCCTACATTAGCCATTTTCCAAGTAAGGGTCTCTGTGGCGTCTCATCTTTCCTTCAGTAGCGGGAATGTTTCTCTCTCTGTGATTTCTCCACCAACAAGCACCTCAAAAGTTAGATCTCTAACAGAAAAGATAACATTGTGAAGGACATGCCAAGGAGTGACTGATTTTCATTTGGAAAATTCACAGGGAAAGAGAAGTGGCAGTAAGAAAACTCCACGACATTAAAGTTGTTGTTCAACAAAGAAGGCTCGGGAGGGGCAGGTTCATCTCTTACTTTCTCCTTCCTTTGCTCCGCCTTGCGGCCCACAGATGACCCGGTGGGGTCCTCCCGCTCTGTGGTTCTTGAAAGGGGTGGGCCTCAGCAGCCCTTGAAGTTTCACACTACCCCGCCTCTTTATCCTAAGAAGGGGGTGGCAGATGTTGCGCCCGTTGCTGAGTCATTTGTATTCTCGCCAAGCGCTTTCTTTTCTCATCAAGCGAGATCTTCACCATGTCCCCTACAGTGAAAAGAATAATTTTAGGTCATATAGAATAATAAAACTGGGATTAGGTTAAAAAGGGTGTTCTTTTCATACCTAAGTATGATCCCACTCCGTCGCCACCCTCGTGATCCTGAGTGATGAGAACACTAAATTCTAGGGGAGGGAAACACCTCTTATCTGGATTACTTCATGATCAAGGGGTGAAATACAATATGGATCCACCCTTTGGATAAGTCATGGACATGACATCTAAAACAATGGAAAGATAGGGTCATCCCTCGCCCTCATAGAGACCAAAGAGGCCTCGCCTTGCCCTTCACAAACTTGTATTTCCAGTCCTTATAAGGATTTGCAAAAGGTTTCAACAGACACCTTCCTAGCAGAGGGTTCAACGTCACCCAACCGTTACTTTTTGGAATATTCATCTGGAAAAAAAAGGAAAACCTCAACAGCGGGGGACACGCCTAGGCTGCAATAAACTATTTGAAAAGCTTTGAGTAAGCCCCACACATTTAGGTTAATATGAGAGGGTCATCATTGATCACTGTCAAAAACTCCATTTCAAAAGATATAAATGGAATCAAAACCCTCGACTCATGAATGGTGGGGAGGTGGACATAAAAATAGGGAGAAAATGGTTTATCAGAAGTATCCATATTGACCCTCTCCTCCTTGGAATAAGGTTCCATAATTCTCTCTCTCTCTCTCTCTCTCTCTCTCTCTCTCTCTCTCTCTCTCTCTCTCTCTCTCTCTTCTCTTTCTCTCTCTCTCTCTCTCTCTCTCTCTCTCTTTCTACTTGTACTAGGAAATCTAATGTCACGACAAAAATTATCGACCATGTCTACATTAGAGTACATGGATGCAACATTTGAACGTGAGTAAGTTTGTTTTTCTTTCCCATGTTCGCTGGGAGTAGAAGAGTGAAGAAGGAGAAGTCTTTATCAGGTGTGTTTCTAGAAAAATAAATAAGAAGGAAAAAGGGTTTCCTAAATATTATATGGGAAACCCAATGGTACAATATATACAATCACCCAAAGGTGTAACTACCATGAGAAGTGGGAAAGTCCATACACCTGGAAGACACGTGTAAGAAATATAGCACATTGATTTCCCCAAGAAACGCCATCATGAGACACATTAAATGCCTTACATGCTCTTTTCCCCATAAAAACACTCCAGCTTTCTGTAGTCATTAACGTTTTAACGTCTTGGGGGTCTAACTTAAAATAAGGTGAATCCCTCTAGTCCATTCGCTAAAGGGATAGTCGCCTTCAACTAAGGGACTCGACCTAAGCTGAGTGACTCGCCTTTAAATAAAGACACCTTTGGGTGAGGGACTCACCCTAAGCTGAGAGACTCACCTTTAAATACAATCACCTATGGCTGAAGGACTCGTCCCAAGCTGAGGGAGTCGCCTATTTTTGGTATAAGAGCACCGTTAGCCCAAGGAATCCCTCTTAAGGCGAGGGGCACACTTAGATTGGGAAAAAAGGCTTAAAAGCACCCCGTCCTTAGAAAATTCCCCGTTCTTGGGGACTATGTAGTGTTATATTTGTAAAGGTCTTAAACTAGGGCGCCCTCGCCCAAAAGTTGTATTGACCAGACGATACCTTGAGGAACCGTTCAGAGGTACTGACAATGTGTAAGGATGTCATTCAAAGGAGAGGGAGTCATCAATTACTCCTGAAAGATAGGTAATTAATAACTTCTCCTAATTAGGGGGAGTAGTTGCTACCATTCGGGGTTACCCAAACCCTAGGCCCAAAAGGCCTTTATAAATAATACTTCTCCCCTCATGGGAGGATGGGACAAATCTTAAGCGATACACATAATTACATCCTAAAGCATAACATTTATCAAATATCATCTCTCATATGATCACACCCCTCATAAACTTATACATAAGCACATTGTCCATCAACAGGGCCTTTCACCTCACGTGAGCAAGATCCCTAAACCGCTCAGGGTTTCTCACTGTCGGAGGGAAGCCATAACCATATATAGTTGTTATAAACTTACTAATACATCTGAGTCCCCCTGCCATTGCTGGAGGAACACACACACGTGTACTTTATGACCAGTACAATTTTATTTCGTCATATGGTCTTTCACAATTTTATTTTATTATATGGTTTTTCATGATTTTATTTTATCACATTGGTGCTTTGAACAAGCTAAGCATCCACTTTGCTTTAAATTCTTTAGGGACTGTACCTAGCCAAAGGTCAGCTCCCTTTTCCTATTCACAACTAAAATATTGGTTCGAAGTTGACATGTTTAGGGCTCAATTGCCTACACTTTGTAGTGGGTAGCTACTGAGAAGGGGTGCCAACTGTGGCTTTGTTCGCCTTATTAATCATAAACTTTGTTCTCCACTTAAGAAAGACAATCATATAATTCAACAAAGGTTATTGCATTACTTATATCAAAATTATTACATTCGACAGTCGCTTCCAATTTGCGTACGTACAACTTGGAAAATATTTAGCTAAAGTACAAATTTGCATTCGTACAACCTGGCAATGGGTGCGTCGTCCTCCAAATCAGGTGTCATATTTCTACAAGGATGACAACTTCAGTCATGTAGGTGAGTCGAAGTCTCTCATATTATTGAATGAGGTGTTATCTTATAAAATCAAAAAAAATGTGGAAGCTCTTCTGCCCAGTTCCCTTTAGTTGCTTCATGCATTTTCTTTAGGCTATGTTTGGATTAATAGAATATAATGGAGCGGAGCAGAACATAGCAGAGCTGAATGAAATATATATCTCACTCGATTGTTTGGTTATTTTATTACAAATATCTCATTACATCACTTACACCTCAAATTGAATGGAACAAAAGATACGGAATTAGATGGAATAGGATGAAATGGATTTCATCATGTTCCATTCCATTCAATCCATTATTTATAAATCCAAACAATAGAATTACATTAGTTACAACTCTATTTCATTATATTTCATCAATTCAAACATACTCTTAATCTTTTAAATAGAACTCAGATTGCTGTTGCTGCTTCTATTTAGTGTTCAATCAAGATGAAATGTTGGTTACCATTCAAATCTTCCAACCAATTCTTAAATTTTTTTATCCATTATTCAAATAAGAAAAATGTTATTCTTACACCAAAAAATGACATTACACCTAATTTACTGTTCACAAATACGTAAACAATATTTTCATATTATTTTGACTATATAATATTTTTTTAAAAAAATAATTTGGTTAATAAAATATTAAAACTTGGTTAATACAGTTCAAAGTTTGGTTAATATAAATTATGGTTAATATATATCATTCAGAATTTTGTTAATATTATGTATATATTTATAATTTAGTCTCAGAACATAGTTAATATTATATATTTTATTAGTTAATGAAGTAGTGAAAGTAGTTAATGAATTGTAAGTAAAATAATTGGTTAATAATGTAGATTTTTGTGGTTAATGCAATTGTAAAGTTGGTTAGTGACGCAATCTTATATTTGTGTTATAAAATAAATTTTAAAAATAAATTTTTTTTTTATAAAAAAATTAATATTTTAAAAAATATATTATTTTAATAAAAAATACTGTTCAGTATATAAATACAGTAAGCAGTACATACGGTATACGGTATAGATATGTGGGTGTAAGAAGTGGTGTGAAGGTAGCCAAAGTGGGAGCTAAATTAAGTACTTTTGCAGACACATTATATCACTACACCTAGAGAATTGGCCTGGATAGTGGGGATACCAACATTGTCACTTCTCATAATCAATTGTTTCAGGTACTCTAACAACTAGTTTGAATTCTTTGAAACAACATACTTACATACCAATAAAAAAAAAACTTTGGGTGGTTAGCATTAAAATACTTTCTTGAAAGATCCAATGCTTCATGAAAAAAAAATGAAGGTATCCGAGCTATGATGATCCTGGAAGATGATAAGTTTATACAAATTACTCGCTACGCTCATAAAAAACGGGCTACACAATAACCCACTCTCTCTTCGCTCCTTCTTCCTTACCTGCGCAAACTCCCTCGACACCGCACGCTATGCCGCATCCCTCTTGCTCCGTTTTCCCATCCCACCCGACCCATTTTCCTACAACACAATCATCAAACAAGTCGCACCCCATTCTCCCACCCTCGCCCTTTCTCTATTTTCCCATATGCACCGTAACTCCGTCCCCTTCGACCACTTCACTTTCCCACTCATCCTCAAACAGCACCACCCCTACCACCTTCACTCTCTCATTCTGAAGCTCGGTTTCCACTCCAACATCTTCGTTCAGAACGCGCTTATTAATGCTTATGGTTCTTGTGGCTCACTCCATCTTGCAGTCAAACTGTTCGACGAAATGTGTCAGAGAGATTTAGTTTCTTGGTCTACTTTAATCGCTTGTTTCGTTAATAACAACCTTCCCGCTGAAGCGATTTCGATTTTCCAACAAATGCAGCTTGATCACCCTGACATTGTGAGTTCCATTGATGGGGTTATTATGCTGAGTGTTTTATCTGCGGTTTCGAGCTTAGGTGTGCTTGAATTAGGTGTCTGGGTTCATTCTTTTATTTCCAGGATAGGGCTTTTAATTACTGTTCCATTGGGTACTGCTCTTATTAATATGTATTCTAGATGTGGGTCCATTGATCGTTCTGTTAAAGTGTTTGATGAAATGCCTCATAGAAATGTAGTTACCTGGACTGCATTGATTAATGGGCTTGCTGTTCATGGACGGAGTAGGGAAGCTTTGAAAGTGTTTGATGACATGAAGGAGTCTGGTTTGAAGCCTGATCGGGCTTCATTTATAGGTGCGTTGGTGGCTTGTAGTCATGGTGGTCTTGTGGAGGATGGTTGGCGGGTTTTTGAAAGCATGACAAATGAGTTTGGAATTGAACCTATGCTTGAGCATTATGGTTGTATGGTTGACATTCTTGGTCGTGCAGGGCTTCTTGTTGAAGCTTTTGAGTTTGTGGAGAAAATGCCTGTGAAACCAAACTCTGTTATTTGGAGGACTTTGCTTGGGGCGTGTGTGAATCATAATCATCTTTTGTTGGCTGAAAAGGCTAGGGAAAGAGTCAAAGAGCTTGACCCTCATCATGATGGTGATTTTGTGCTTTTATCAAATGCATATGGTGGAGTTGGTAACTGGGGTGGTAAGGCTGGCTTGAGAAATTCTATGAAGCAAAATAGAATTGTCAAGGAACCTGGCCTTAGTTTTATCCATATTGATCAAGTGGTTCATGAGTTTGTCTCTGGTGATCATTCTCATCCACAATGGGAGGAGATTACACATTTTTTAGTTTCAGTTATAGATACTTTAAAACTTGGAGGTTACACCCCTAATACTTCGTCTGTGTTACATGATATTCAAGAGGAAGAAAAAGAGCATTGTGTGGGTTATCATAGTGAGAAATTGGCAGTGGCTTTTGTGCTTCTTCATCATAGGGATAGAAGGACCATTAGGGTCATTAAGAATCTTAGGATTTGTAATGACTGTCATGACTTCATGAAGCATGTTTCGGGTATCTTTGACAGAGAGATTATTATTAGAGATCGAAATCGGTTTCATCATTTTAGACAGGGATCGTGTTCTTGTCAAGATTTTTGGTAAAGCATGCTAGTTCAAGTATAAAAATCTATGTCAACATTCATTTGTTACCATCAATAAAGGTCCCTGCGAGGTGGAACTGGGAATAGAAATTGGGATCATTAATTATAACTATTATATTAAAAAAAAAAATTGTCAGATTTATAACTGTATTATGGTTGCTGACAAGTAAATGAGTTTATAATGTTGATCAGAGTCAGAAATTAAAAATGGTAATATTGACTGATTGTATTGAGTATGGTAAAATTATAAAGTATAACAGCAATATAATTATTGGCCATACCGCTTCAGATAATCTTTTCATTAGAAATTGGGTTCATTAATTAGTCATGTTAAATCAGTTTGGTTGGAAGTTGTACAGAGACATTAGATGCAGATGCATTGGCTTCTTACCAATGTTGAATTTTCAAAGTTCACCCGCAGGGTATCTGTATCACAATATCAGCAAGTCTCAAGTCGGTAGCTTCAATAAGAGATTGGAAGCCATTGGTTCTACGCAGAAATAGGGAAAGTATCGAATTTGTAGTATGCTTTATTGCAATTAATACCAATTCTTCTAATTGGATAATACATTTGGAGATATTAGATATTAGTTCTATATAAGTTGATTTTCAAATGTATGTTAATTTTGTGTCAGCTGTATGAAAAATATCTCAGCATAACGAAACATTCAAAATATAAGAGAGTCGTCATTGAAGTTTATTTATTTCAAAAGAAAAGAAAAAATGTTTGATAAAACCCTTAAATAAAAAGAAAATGCTCGTCGCAATCAAATTTAGGTTCGAGAATCGATTATATGTGGAGAACACATATCCATTATATTCAACGGGAACCGTTTAGTTAGTTTTGCGAATGTGAATGTTAACGTAAGTTATTTGATTTCTTCTAGTTATTAAAAGTTTGAAAGGGAAAAAATGACTAATAATGTAATTTTATTAGGGTATTTGACAAATTTGCGAATTTTGCTCATATGTATCCTTAAGTGCGACGAGAAATTTAAAACTATGCAGTTTTGAGAAAAAAATATATATTTTTGAATTTTTTAATATAGTGTTTGACTAGATGTTGAATCTTGTTCCTATGTATCTTGTAGTGCGAAGAGGAATTTAAAGCTATGTAGTTATGGGCAATAAAAATATTTTTTTTTTTTGAATTTTTTACTATAGTATTTGACGAGACGTTGAATCTTATTTCTACGTATCCTCTAATGCGATGATGAATTCAAAGTTACGTAGTTTTTGTAGCAAATAAGTGTTTGTTGGTTGATTTTAGTGAGTTATGTTTAAGTTGCATTTTAGCGGCTAAGCATTGCTTGTATGCTCGCGCATGGGATACTTAAGCATTTTTGTATTTGCGGTAGAAGATAAAATATTGTTCATTTGTGAAAAGTTTTGGCGTCACGCTAAGGCGAAAAAAGTTGATTTGATTGGTTGAATTTTATTTTTGAGTGGATGACAAGTATTCGAACTGTATGCTAATTACGACCATCGTCCAAATACTTCGGGACTAGGATGGATAATTACGTCCAAATACTCCGGGACTAGGATGGATAATTACGTCCAATTAATCCTTTTTTGTCCAAGTTATTTATGAAATTTGTGAGGCGAATTAAGTCACGATTCTTTAACGGAAGACAAGTATTCAAACAATATGCTATTTACGGCCATCATCCAAATACTCGGGGACTAGAATGAATAAATCTGACTAATCCTTTTTCATCCACTAAAGAATGAACTAGATTTGGTTGATTATTGTGTTTTGAATGGAAGACGAGTATTCAGATGGTAGGGTAATTACATCCAGCATCCAAATACTCGGGGACTAAGATAGATAATTACTTCTAACTAATTATTTTTTATCCGATTGTTTATTGTGAAAAAGATTTGAATACTTTTGATTAAGCGGAAAATAACTTAATGTTGGTCAAGTGTTTGATTTGCATTTTGGTTGAAATTGTATTGAAAAGTTTTTAGTTTTAGGGTTAAGTGATTTTTGAAAATTGATGAAGGAGTTATGAAATGTTTGTTTTGAAAATTAACTTGATGTTGATCAATCTTTTTTTTAAAGATTGACTTTTAATAGTCATTTAAATTAGTTGTTGAATTTTATTAAATAATAACAAGAAAAAAAATTAAACTAAAAATTAAAAACGGTGTATGGGTATACAAAGTGTGGTAACAGGAAACAATAAAAACAATGGTGGACTTGGCCCAAAGAAATAACAAAAAATAAGTAAATGAAAAAAAGAGGGGTGCAAAACCCAAGTAAGGGGGTGGCGCCCCAAAAGGGCCACTTGGGCCAAAAGGGAAGGCCCAACTCCTCCCTCGCACCAACAGGGGGTGCGAGAAGGAGAAAACAATAATTGTTGATTAATCATAAAGCATGAAAATAGAGGCAGAAGATAAGTGGTGCATAAGTTAAGATACTCATTTTATTTTATTGAATAAGCAACAAGAAATATTTGATTACAATTGATTTGCCATTCGAGCTCATCTAAGTTCAGCTCTAAAGTCGATCATCATGACCTTACAGGAAGCAACAAAGTCAAAAGCTTCCCTAAGGGTATTTTGAGGAATCATCACTGCAAAATCCATCTTTAATTTTTCAGGAACATCTTCAACCATCCAGCTTGTGGACTTTGCTAGATCAAGATGTTTCTCTCTCCATTTTTGGGCATTTTGGAAAAGATTCTGAATTAACTTCTGATTTCTACCTTGGAGAATGTTCTGAATGAACATTTACCTTTGATCTACAAGAACCTCTAGGTGATGGCATCTACCTTCCTAATAGGATATTTCTTCTCTCAGTTGATTGTAAGCAACCCTATGTTGATGGTCTTGATCCCTGAGTTCGCAGATATCTTTGAAGACTTTTTCCAACTTAGAATGACATCTAATGAACAAGTTCTCAAATTCTTTCTTTTGGCATTGTTTTCTCCTTAGGTAGTCTTGGTAGTCCTTAACTTCTGCTTTGATACTTTTCACTTTAGCTTCAAAATTTTCCTCAATTACCTTTTTAGCTTTAATGTTCTGGTTCAACCAATTCTCTATCTTATGAATTTGGCGACGGGCTTCGGCCAACTTTTGATTTTTGGTGTTGAGACTACTACCATCTCCTCTTAAATCATCTCATATTCGTTTTCTTTTCTTGTTCTCATCTTGTACCATCTATACTTTATTGAAGAGTTGCTTTGTCTTTTTGTCGAGGTTGAGCTTTATGTCATTCTTTTCACGAATGACTCGATTGAGACTTAGTACTAACTCTTCATTTTCTTTTTCCAGACCATGGATGATAACTGAGTTTGTTGACTTTTTCAATAGAAACATGAGTTGGTTTAGAAGGTTGTGGACTCACAGAAGGCTCCAAAGGAAAAGGCAACATGACCTCCTTGATTCCCTCCTTGGCCTACTGTGTATAAGGATCTTTAGCAATGCATTTCTTTTTACCTAGTTCAGTCTTCCCCTTACAGTGAATCTCGCCCCAAGCTCTGCTTATCCTCTTCAGTAATTATGGATTCTCAATCCCTTCAGTTAGGACAAATTCTTCCAATTGCTTGGTATCGGGTGTGTCGAGCATCAGGTAACTCAGTTGACGTGAAGCCATAATCAGATTGTAGTTGATACCCCTTTTAGTTCCTATTGAAAATATGGAATGCACTTAAGGGGGAGGGGGTGAATTAGGTACTTCAATATTTTCTGGTTTTTAGACTCAAGTGTGGTTATTTTTCTTATTTTTGATGTTAAGTGATGAAAGCGATAAAGAGTTGAAAAATAAAGAACACAACAATGTATCCTGGTTCCACTCACAATTCGAGAGTATTCTAGTCCCCTTGCAAAATAAGATATTTTACTATTTGTTAGAACTTTGTACAAGTTTTATCCTAGACTTCTAGAGATAAGCTTCTAACCAATAACTATGACAACAACACCCTATGATTAACCAAGTTGAAATAAGAACAATCCTCTCTAATTTAACTCTCTTGCTTCCAACAATCCTGGACAATAAGGAATACAAAATAATTCTAAAAATAATAAGAAGTTTAAAGTATGATGAATATATATCAACTACTATAATTGATCTTTTCTACCAAGTAGGCAATTCTCAAAATGTTATACAAGTGCTCAAGGAATTATAGAGTTGAAACTTTTTAGAGATGCAATGAAAATTATGCAGAAGTTTCAAGAAATGTTTGTATGGAAAGACACGTCATTTGAAAATGAGAGAGTAAGTAATTTGAATTACAGTGAGAGAGGTAGAGATTCAAAATCAGATATGTAATGTATTTATAGTACCTCAAGACATTTTTGAAAGTGTATGAATGCATGAAAAGATGTCATGCTTGAGGGATGCAAACAAAAATTCGTTAGAGTCAGATTTTGAATGAACCATTGTCACTGCTTCAGTGGTAACTGTAACACCCTAAATCCCCCGTGTAACTTATAATAAAATATCTGAGTAATTTTAAAACATAAACATTTAAGATGTCATATTTCACCAAAACCTGCTCATACATTATGATATGTAACACATGTACTTTTTAAAAAATTAATAATAATAATAATAACAGCAAACATGTCTAAAAAGTTAATTGATATTGCAACGGAAACTTCAACATACTTGACTATTTCAATAATCCAAAGCATAATCATGTTTTTAAAGTAAATATAAACAACATAGAAATAAGAGATATCCAAATAATCTCCAACAACATAAAAGACATATAGAAACATTCCATTCTCCGGTGTTGCACATCAGAGCAGACGCCGACTCTATAAAATTAAAAGGAAGACTCCATCTTCCACTCACATCAACTCCTCTACTGCAAGTTATCTACACAATGCCCATGTAAAGGCAACATTCAAACAAAAGGGGTGAGATATCATAATTATATAAAGGAAAACATGATAATATGTAACCAACAGATTATTACATGTGCATCACCCATTAATGAGACTCACAACTTGACTCAATGCATGTGGTACCAATATGTGAACACTCAGGTT